AAAACCAAGGTGTCAGCAGAACTGTTTTTCTGCTATATGCTCTAGAGGAGAATTTGTTTCCTTACCTCCTCCGGCTTCTAGAAGCTACTTGCACTCCTTGGCTCATGGTCTGTTTTTGTTTTTTGTTTTTTGTTTTTTTTTGGAGAAAAAGAGAAAGATCAGTTGCCCTGGTTTATAAATAGTTCTACCCAATATGCCAGTACCTCCAGAAAGTGGATAGCTTCAGCATTATAGGATCACTCAAGGGTATCTTTTGAAAGGTAATAGGGGCAGGTAAATCCTACCAGTGAGCAAATCAAGCAGTGAATCAGTTGGTCAAGAAAGAGACATGGCCAGTTGAAAGGATCTATACTGATTTTTGGTCAGTAGCTAACTGCTTCCTTGGATGCTGTGGGACTTAGAAGGAAAAATATTTAAAAATTGGAGTTTTTAATTGGACAAGGAGTTTTTGGAAGGAGGTTTATGGCCAGCCTTCCAAGAGTGGTAGATATTTGTTTACCATGTGAATGCTTGCTGTTGTAACCAGGTGTCCCAGGTTCTTGGGCTCACTTGCCCCAGGAATGGGGGAAAAGGCCCTGGTGGCCCAGTGAGCTTACCGTTCATATAAATATCATGGACCCAAAGAGTTTAGCAGAAAGCGATTTATTAGGCAGAGAGAGAGAAAAACAAAGAGCTCCCACGCTGCCATGGGAGGGGAATCTGAAGGGAATTCCATACAGGTAGAGAGGGAAAGACAGCTCCTACATTATTGTGGGAGGGGATCCAGAGAGGGAAATCCGCAGGTAAGGTGCAGTGGAGTTTAACTTTGAATTTATTCCCGTCCCATTCATGTTCTTGTCCAATGAGAGTTGGACAAGTTCTTTCAAACTTCCTCTGGCGTGATTGATCTTTGATTCCGATGCTGGATTGGCTGTCTAGCTCAGAACAGAGCCCCTTCTTCCCAGAGCTTTTCGTGGGCTTTTTTTTTAAGAAAAGACCACACCTGGAATTTCTACCTAGCCCTTGCCCCTCGGGAAAGTTCCTGGATGGGGAGGTGGATGGAGGCATGGCACTGGGAAATTCCTGCCTTTGAAACACAGGCAGTTTTCCTTAATACAATCCCTCACTGTGATGCTTAATTTTACATGTCAAGTTGACTGGGCAGTAGTATCCACATACTTGGTCAGACATTAATTTGAATATTTCCTTCAGGCTATTTTTTGGATGAGATTAATATTTAAGTTAATGGACTTTAAGTTAAGCAAATAACCCTCCATAAGGTTGGTGGGCCTCATCCAATCAATGGAAGGCCTTAATAGAACAAAGACTGACCTCTGAGCAAGCAGGAATTCCGCCAGTAGACAGCCTTCAGACTTGAACTGCAATATCAGCTCTTCCTTGGGTCTTCAGCCTGCCAGCCAACCCTGTAGAGATTTTGGACTTGCCAACTTCCTTAATTTCATCAGCAAGTTCCTTAAAATAAATCTGTCTCTATATACACACATCCTATTGTTTATGTTTCTCTGAATAACGCTGACTAATAAATAATACTTACCAAAGGCCATTCACTGCAAAGAAGGCTCTTGTTGATCAGGTGGACAAAATGATCTCTTTTCTCTTATAGCTATCAGTCTCGTTCCCTATCTACTCCAGTTCTTATTCCATGGGCTTATGCACACAATAGCTAAGTGTATTAGTCCAGTCTCACAATGCTATAAAGAAATACCTGAGACTGAGTAACTTATGAAGGAAAGAGGTTTAACAGACTCACAGTTCCACAGGCTGTATAGGAGGCTTGGCTGGAGAGGCCTCAGGAAAAATTTACAATCATGGCTAAAGGTGAAGGGGAAGAAAAGCACCTTTTTCAGAGGATGGCAGGAAGGAAAAGTGCAAGCAGGTGAAATGCCAGGTGCTTATAAAACTATCAGATCTTGTGAGACTCACATCCCCGTGATCTAGTTACCTATACCCTTAATCCCAGCCTTGACTTGTGGGAATTATAGGGTTACAACTGAAGATGAAATTTTGGATGGGGACACATCCAAACCATATCCTTATGACAGCAAGAATAGAGATATTATGTATGGGCTAAATACCATGGGCTTCTCACTGCACCTCACCTGGCTTCAGGCCTCTGCTGATTGCCTTGCTTTCCAGTAAGAGAGACCAATGGTGAGCCCTTAATATGGCACCATTCCCTGAGGGAACATCCAGCCAATTGATTGGTGATAGTTGATTATTGGACCCTTTCCTTCATGGAAGAGACAGCTTTTGTTCTCACTTATTCTGGATGTGGATTTACCTTCACTGTCTACAGTGCTTCACCATTACCATCCTTGAACTTACTTAATGCCTTATTAACCATCAGGTTGTTATAGGTAGTATTGCATCTGATCAAGAAACTAATTTTTCCAAAAATTGCGGCAATGGGCTTATGCCTACAGAGTTTGCTAATCTTTCCATGAACCTTATCAGTCAACATCAGGCCTGAGAGAATGATAGAATGGCATCTTTAAGACTCAGATGGGGCCCCTGCCAGGTGTAATATTTTGTGGAGCTAGAGTACTATCCCACAAGATGTGATTTGTTCTTTGAACTGATGACCAGTATGTGGTATCCTCTTCCATTGGTCTAAATACGTGTTTTTGTGCTGGTACCATGCTGTTTTTTGTTTGTCTGTTTGTTTGTTTTTGAGACAGGGTCTGGTTCTGTCACCCAGGCTGGAGTGCAGTGGTGTGATCTCAGCTCACTGCAGCCTCTGCTTCTTGGGCTCAAGCCATCCTCCCACCTCAGCCTCCTGAGTAACTGAGACTACTGGTGCATGCCATCATGCCTGGCTATTTTTTGTGTGTGTATTTCTTATAGAAATGGGGTTTCACCATGTTTCTCAGGCTGGTCTCGAACTTCTGAGCTCAAGCAATCCACCTGCCTCCGTCTCTCAAAGTGGTGGGATTACAGGCGTGAGCCACCATGCCTGACCCATGCTGTTTTGATTACTATCCATCACTTTCTAATAGATTTTGAAATCAAGTAGTCTGATGCCTCCAACTTTGTTCTTTTTGCTCAAGATTGCTTTGACTACTTCGAGTCTTTTTGTGATGCCATATGAATTTTAGGATTGTTTTTGCTATTTCTCTGAAAAATGTCATTTTTTTGTTTGTTGCTAAGTATGTATAAAGCAGTTGATTTTTGCATGTTTATCTTGTTTCCTGCTAACTTGATTAACAAATTCATTAGTTCTAATAGTTTTTCAGTAGATTTCTTGGGATTTCCTACAAATATGAGATCAGGCTATTTGTGAATACAGAGTTTTGCATCTTCATTTCCAATCTGGATGTATTTTACTGAGGCCTCCTTTTAAATGTGTTAACAAATTTTAAAAATCACAATTTTCTAAAATGTAGTAAATAAATGGGATCCAAAGTAGCTATGTTTCATTGCCCTTGCCAACTGTGTTCTTTTTAATACTATTATTTTTTTGTGAAACATATATAAGGTAATGTTTTAAGATCCTAATATATCAATTCCAAGTAATTATTGAATTAAAAAAAAAAGTATTGCCATTTTTGATTTTTAAAATATGTTTTAAAATTGAGGGAAAATCCAGAATGCATATCACATAGGAAAATTCAAATTATTGACTCTGTATTGATATTTAAATTCTTATTAGAAATTTTATATATAATTTACATAAATCATTATTTATACATTTAATTGCCTCATGTTTATTTTTTAATAATTATTTAAAAAGTAGCTCTAAGCCAGTATGGTGGTACATACCTCTAGTCCAAGCTACTCAGGTAGCTGATGGCAGGTGGGTCAATTGAGGTGAAGAATTTGAGACTGTAGTGCACTATCAATAGATTGCACATGTGAATAGCTAGTTGCTGCACTCCAACTTGTGCATCATAGCAAGACACCATCTCTAAAAACATAAATTTTAAAAAATGCTCTAGCGTGAGCTATTCCAAAACTCAACTTTGGTACAAATTATAAATAGTATGAAACTAATGAGGTATCTTTATAATTGTCACTAGTGTATTAAAGTCATTATGTTAAAAAATTATTGTGATGGTGTATCTCGAGTCAACCAAATGAGGATTTAAAAATTCTTTTGGACTTTAACATGCCAGAGCATTATTTCTAGGTTCCACTGATGAATACAACAAAGAAAACTTTGTACCTAATATCTGTGATTTTGTGTGTCTACTTTAAATATGGTTTCTTTTTCCTTCTTATACTTTTTAAATATTTCTTTCACAAAAATATAGAATGATCATCTAGCTAGATAAAGCCACCAAAATAGAAAAAAGGAGAAATCAGTGGTAGGATATTGACACCAAAAGCAGAGTGTGGATAGTGAACATGTTGTTTCTAACAAGAGGATGAAAATAGAGTTATGAAAATAGAGTTGACTGAGATGTTCCGCAGTTTTCCATGCCTTTTCATTTTTCATCATTTTTTATTCCATTATATTATATGGAGCTTCATGAAAGAAAACAAAAAAGAGATAAGGAGTTATAGTTAGGGCTACAAATAAAATTTAATCTTTCTGGATGAGATTTGAGAAGCATCTATGTAGAGAAGTTTAGTTTGGTAATATATTAATTTCCTAAATCTTTGTAATGTTTTCATCAAATTTTATTCTCTAGTATAGCTTTTTTCTGTTATATCATACATACCCTGGCCATTATATCTAGCTAATCATTAAATAGCAAATATTTAGAAAACCAGAGATTTTTAAAATTATTGTTTGCCTTAGTAAGACAGCATCATACTGGTAAGATAATCCTATCATGTCTTATAAAGTAAGCAACTTCAGGATAAGATTTAACACGATTCCTCTCTATTAACATGTTAAGTTGGAAATAATACGCTCTTTTAAGTCCATATATTTCAATTCTTACTTAAATCAGCAAATAAATAAGTAATCATATTACCGATGGGAATCCCCTCCACAGCAAAATTGAGAGGAATTTATGTACTAATGCTGGTTTATTTTGCTATTTATTGTTCCTCAGATTCTGATGATAGAATTAACCATGGGCAAATTGCTTATATTTCTTCGAAGAGCTGCTCTATTCCGGATGAGAGTTATGGCTGCCTGTCTTCAAACATTCCTGCATTAGAATTGATGGCTCTGTATGTGGCAGCTGCCATGCATGATTATGATCACCCAGGGAGGACAAATGCATTTCTAGTGGCTACAAATGCCCCTCAGGTAGGAAATATTTTTCAGCACCTTTAAAGAGTAATTCCAAAATTTTACAGTCATGCTCTGCATCCCTTTATAAATCATTATTTAATTGAATCATATGGTCATTCCACCTGACTTTAAGACCCTTCATTTTAATTAAATGGATAATAACACATGGCATTAATGTGACATGTGCTAGAAAATTAGGGGAAAAATCAGCTTCTTCAACTAGAAAATAGTAAATAGTTTTTGAAATAACTCATTGTATTGTGAAATTCTAGAGTCCTTGCTGTCAGTATTTTTGTCTTTAATCAGACTGACAAAACTCTGACTGTATTTAAGATTTCTGTTCCTCCTGGTTAGGCCTATTGTGTGGCTAGAAAGCTATAATGGTTGAGAACTATTAATCTTTTTTTGTTGTTCTCTTTTTTCCCTAAAGATTTGCCTTCATACCAGATCTTAAATCTCTTACCTCTGAATATATTAGTGTATGCAAAAATTCTTCTGGTATATAGATACCTCCTATAGCTAATAAGATATAAAATTCCTTTAAGGTCACAATTTGCATGGGGAGGCGAGAGTTCCCAACAAAAGGATACTGTAATTGCAATAGCTTTAAACATTAAAATTGGAACTAAATACGTGGATTTAAGTAGAATTTATTGTGGTTGTGGTTTAAGAAGATTTTTGTGTGGTAGCTGGGTTTGTTTATGCTGGGGATTTCTGAACTGTCATCTGTGTGTTTCTAATTGCATGCTTTATGAAGAGCAGGTATTTAATGATTGTTGCTGAATTCATCTCACTTCTTCACTTTATCATTCTATGTTTAAATCTTGGCTCTGATCCTCTTATCTTCTGTAGCCATTTTCTGTTTTTCTACCTCAATCTCTTTCATATACTCTAACCTTTTTCAATATAGGAGATATATTCTCTTGAATTGCGAGCATATATGTGGGGTGGCGGGAAAGAATGTAGGGAGCAATGAATATATGTGTAAGTGGGTATAATGGGTGTGTCTGTGTGTGTGTGTATGTGTGTAAATGGATTAAAATGGCCATGTGATGAATTTTTCTGAGACTTTATTAATAGCTCATGATTTCCACAGGTAACTTTCTGATGAATTTAAATCTAGTTATTAGTAGTTACCCACTTTCTAAGTATTATTTTGGAAAAAAAATCCTACCTTCTACGTGGCACGTATTTTCTTACTTGCAGTACCATTCTGCAAGAATCAGATGTCGGTTCTCTCGAGAACCTAGCACATCACAATCTTTGAAGATCCTAGTCCTTTAATGAATCATAGGCCTGAGGAGTAGTGGCATAGTGGAAAAAACACTGGACTTGAGATTAAGTGCTATCTTAGATTTCTGATTTCCCACTCACTAGCTATATTACCTCAAATAAAGGTTTATTCCTCTGAACCTAAAAATAATTTTCTGATATGATTAAGGAGGTAACATATGGAAGGTTTTATACTGTTTCAGATAGCATGAGAAGCTCCTGAATCAGAAATTACGTGGGTAGAAATTATTTACTGTTCTAGTCCATTCTCTGTTGTTTTTGTTTTGTTTTGCTTTTTGAGATGGAGTCTCGCTCTGTTGCCCAGGCTGGAGTGCAGTGGCATGATCTCAGCTCAGTGCAAACTCCACCTCCTGGATTCAAGTGATTCTCCTGCTTCAGCCTCCCAAGTAGTTGGGATTACAGGCACCCACCATCATTCCCAGCTAATTTTTGTATTTGTAGTAGAGATGGGGTTTCACCATGTTGACCAGGCTGGTCCCAAATTCCTGACCTCAGGTGATCCACCTGCCCCAGCCTCCCAAAGTGCTGGGATTAAAGGCGTGAGCTACCATGCTGGCCCACTCTGTTTTTATTACTGCTTTCATTTGCTTAAAGTATATCCTCTTTCAAGGATGTTACAAATGAGTGAATTCCAAAGTTAACTCTCTCACATGAAGATAATTTAAAACAAAGATATATGAATACAACTTATACAAGTTGGGTACCCAACTGTTGTCCACATCAAAATACAGTCATGAAGTCTGAACATGATATCAATAATCATGTTATTTCCAACTTCTCATTGTTAAGAATTTCCATTAGATGAAGCAATAGGAAGTGCTAGCATCGAAAGGAGATTGATTAGAGAGTTCCCCTGTGAAAATGTATAGCCTCTTACCTAGTCTTATTGCTTGTTCCCTGCTCTCCTTCAGTCTATTCTCAACACATAGCCAGAATGTGACCCTGTTTAAGTGTGTTACATCACTCTGTTCCAGATGCTCTGGTTGGGTGCTGTGGCTCACACCTGTAATCTCAATACTTTGGAGACTGAGACAGAAGGATCTCTTCAGCCCAGGAGTTTGAGACCAACCACATGGGCAACATATGAGACCCTGTTTCAAAAAAATAAAAACAAAAAAGTAAACTCTCCAATGGCATTCACCTTACTCCTAGTAAATGACAGTCATAAAATGTTTCACAAGGCCCTGCATTATTAGCCCCATTAAGTCTCTCTCTATTTTTTTTTTAACTTACTCAAGTGTAGTCTCACTGGCTTCCTTGCTAATACCATCTCTGTCCTAGGAACACTCCCTTTCTGAGAGTGTTTGTACTTTCTGTTCTCCCTGTCCAGAGGACTTTTTCTGAAATTTCAAAATCCCTTCCTTATATGTTATGCTCCTTCTCTGCTTTTTTTTTCATAGCAGTGATCATTTAAGATACTATATATTTTATTTATGTACTTTGTTTTTTATATGGAGCTCCTCAAAGGAATATACAGTTCCACAAGGGAAGGAATTTTTGTCTCCTTTATTCCATACTACCTAGAATAGTGCTTGACATACAAAAAGCATTCAGTAAATATTTGTTGAATGTTGAAGGATGTCTGAATTCTTTGCTTTGTAGTACTCCTAGGTTTTCTGAAATACACATTCTGTGCTTCCCAAAGTAATGAAGTTTATGAGGCCTTCTTCTACTAGCACCTGTGAGATAAGGACTCTTGTAAAAGTCTAGGGCTTAATGTGGTTAAGTAACAAAGTAGCTTCTTTCATCTTTGGAAACTCAGTGGGTCTAGTAAGGCCATAATTAATGAAAGATACCATAGTTCCAGTGTATTATAGACAGTAGCATATAATACCACCAACTGGCTCAAGCATTCTTCTTCATTCTCATGGTAAGGAATGTGTGCTAGAAAGACACAGGAGAATTCTTGCCATGAAAGAAGGTGACACATATAGTCAAGTATATCCTGGAGGAATGTCAGAATTAATAATGATTCTAAGGGATTTCTGAGCTATTTCCAAATGAAAAGTTGGCTGAAAGATGGAGGTTAATGCTTGAGATAGTAAAATTTCTAGAATATTTTGATGAGACTAGGAAAAAGGAAACAAAATTTTAAATTGAGATTTGTAGATCTGTTTTGTCTCCTAAAATATGGATTAAGCTGACTAAACACGTGTATCTGTTTCCCCTTCTTTCTGGGAATGCATTAAAATGATAGTAAGGTATGAAGTTCATTACCAGAAGGAGTAAGAGGAGGAAGGATATTATTGCCAGCAGATAAAAAAATTTATAACATTTCTGGAAAATGAAATATGGATGAATGTTGACAGGTAAAACAAAAGTACCCAGCATAGCTGGAACCCCAGAGAGACTCCTGTTACCATTTGCTCCTGTTTGTTCTCCCTATGCACACACACACTTTTAAGCAGAGCAACTATAACCCTCTTTACCTCCAGGCAGAAAACTCATTTCTTAGATATTGAAAGAAACTGCCTGGAGAGAGTAAGAGTTACTAGAGTGGGTGTTAGTAGTCCAAAGTAAATTTTTTGCATTCTGAACATCTAATAGTTGGCACCCCAGTTATTCTAAAGCAAAACTTGCTAGATAACAAACCTTATCCACATTTACATATTTCCCTCTCATTCATCCCAAGGGGAGTGACTCCACAATAAAACATACATAACAGCAGAGAGAAATTACAACTGCAATCTATAATTCATTTATTTATATATACAGATAATCAAAGATCATCAGACATGACATTAACCAGAAGCTTGGAAAGAAAAGGCTAAGATGGAAAGAATAACTGACCACAGGGGGAATTTAGGGAATAGAGAATCATCTAATTATTTTTTTTAAAAGTATTCTCAAAGAATTTGAAAACACTGCATCCATAAAGTAAGAACAGGAAACTATGAAAAAGAAACATCAGAGAACAAGTTAGGTTCTTAGAAACTAAAAATATTACTGCAGAAAATTTTAATAATTCAATATAAGCATTGGAAGTAAAAGTCCAGGTCATCTCTCCTCGAACATAGACCAGGAAGATAAAAAGGAAATATAGGGAAGGAGACAATAAGACATAAGGGACTAGATCAAGATGTGACTAGTGGAAGTTCTAAAAAGTAGGGAGTCTTTGGATTGAAAGGGCTCGCTAAGTGCCAGGAAAGTTGAAGAGAGAGAAAAAAATCTCAAACCCCACACGTAGCACATCATGAAAAAATTTCAGAATACCAGAGATTTTATTCTTAAAAATAAAAGAATTCCTTAGAAGATGAAAATAATACATCTATAAACGAACAAAAATTCAACTATCATTGTATTTTAGCAACAATAGATGCTAGATAATATTAAAATGAAGTCTCTAAAATTCTAAGGGAATTTATTCATTCATTTATTTGTTCATGTATTTATTGGGTGCATATTGTGGGGTAGGCACTACTTAGGCATTGTTATATTAAATAAAACATGGGTTAAATCTTGCCCTTCATCGAACTTACATTCTAGTAAAGCAAGAAAATGAATAAATAAATAATGTGTGTGTAAGCAAAGGAGAGAGCAGAGCAAGAGAGAGAGATATGATTATGACTTAAGAGCTAGGAGTGCTGGCATAAGAGTATTATTTTCAAGTTAGAGTTCTGTATTCAGCTAAGCTACCATTTTACATAAGAGCAAAATAAAGAGATTTTCAGATATGCAGTGATTTTAAACAATCACATCTTGACCATCTTGAGAAAGTTCTTTTAAAATGTGTTTCATCAAAACAAGGGTGGTAACTAAGATAAAGGAAGATAAGAGATTATTAGAAATTTTAGAACTGATATGGTTTGTCTCTGTGTCCCCACCCAAATCTGTAATTGTAATCCCTACATGTCAAGAGAGGGCCCTGGCAAGAGGTGATTAGATCCTGGGGGCGGATTCTCCCATGTTGTTCTCATGATAGTAAGGGAGTTGTCCCGAGATGTGATGGTTTAAAAGTAGTAGTTTCCCCTTTGTGCTTTCTTTCTCCTGCTGCCTCTCTTGCCTCTCCTTTGCCTTCCACCATGAATGTAAATTTCCTGAGGCTTTCCCAGCCCTGTGGAACTGTGAGTCAGTTAAACCTCTTTTGTTTATAAATTACCCAGTCTCAGGTATTATCTTTGTAGCAGTGTAAACATAGAAAAGAACAAACTGAGAACTTCAGGGTAAAAGAATCCTGAGATAACAGTCATTCATCAAGACTGTTTCTTTACAAAACTAGCTGCTTTGTTTTCTGTAGCACCTTATTTGTCTGCTCTCTCTCTACTGGATTTTTTGAGTTGGGAATATTATTTTTTAAATGAACAGTTCTTAATCTTTTTCACTTGAAGTACTTTTTTAGTCATTAGATGAGTTTGACCTAGATTTTTGTTAATGTTTCCTTCTGTTTCTTACATTTTAAAAGGGGACATTTGCTTAGATTAGTCAGACTCATCCTTTGTATGATCTAAGTCTTTCTTATGTCTGAAGGGTTTTCTCCTTTTGCTTTTATTTATTTAAAAATGTTACTATTTGTTAAGATTCTGTCAGTTTGTATTAAACCTCTTCTCAGATCTTTCCAACTCAGAGGGTGAAAAGTAAGGTTTATGACCAACTAATTTGCTTTCCCAAAGTACTGATGTATTTGTTGTAGAGAGAAGGATCTAGAAAAAGCAGGTAACAAGATGCTTTAGCTCAGAGTCAAAGGATGTTAGCTTATTGCAGCTCCAAATGAGCTGGGGCCCTGTTTTTCTTTGCTTCTAAGAGCCCACAGTAAGAGCTGAGGCTTCATTATCTGCTTGCTTGAAATGTTTTTCTTACTCAGTTTACACTTGGTCTGCTGCTCTATGTGCTACCTTCTAGTGTTCTTCTAAAGAAGAATTGACATTTGCTTCTTACTTACTGCTTTCTTGCCTCCCCCTGCTCTCCTTTGAGCTTGTTAGTCTACTGAGGTCCAGCAGGGAACCCTTCCACTTAGCTCTTCAGATAGGTTTCTCCTTCTTATGCAATGACTTGGTTGGCTCTTCTCAATCCATTCTCATTTTCACCATGTCTTTGAAGTTTTCAGTATTGTGAATCTATCTAGATTCTAATACTAATTCTGACTGTTTTTCCCCCATTTTATATTTCTTGGCAATTTCAAAGGGTAATTTGAATGAAGGAATTCGGAACTTTCTCATTTTTAAAAAACTGATCTTGCTAGCTGTGAGTATATTAAGTCAGCTAGCTTCACGGGGCACTCGTTGTACATTGTGTTTTATTGAGCCTGGAATTGAATTACTTTCTCCTGAACAGACAGAGCTGTCTTCATAGTTAAAACTTTGTCACATTTGAGCATGAATTAGTCAAATCATTACTAAATGTAAATGGACCCCTTAGGGAGTCTTCAAAGCTTACTCTTTGTCTTTGGGATTTATAATGTTGAGAAGTTGTATTACGGGTAGTATGAAATGCCTTTATATGACCCACTGCAAAGTTTAAATCATAGCATTGCTTACATAAAATTAAATACTGCAAAAAATAATCACTTGATGTTATGCTCCTGTGCTTAAATCTAGCCTATAGCTAATTTTCACAAATAAGTAGAGCTATTTAATTAAGCTCTTAGAATGTGTATCCTACCTGAGATCTCATTCTATCTGTCCTTCTTTCTCATTACACAGTAGGCGCCATGAAAACAGGGATAGGGTTTTAATTTTTATCCCTGGCCTTTAACACAACTTGGCTGTAGAAATTCTTTTATTAATTACTATACTTGTTTAATAATTTAAAGAATTGCTTAATTTTTAGAGGTGGAAGAGGCTTTAGAAATTCCATACTCCACTGATTTTGAGTCTGTATTCCAAAGTCCTAGAGTACTGAGCCAGCACCTCAGGGTCTTCCAATGAAGTGTAGAAAAAATTAGTAGTTCCACACAATTAGGACCAGAGGATTTGTGTTTTTATCTGTTACATAGTTCTGTTTTACTCCCAGGCACTAAGTGAAGATGGGAATCCAGGATATGTCCATCTCCGACAGGCAGGTCTCTTACACTGGACAGTATTCCTGCTTCCTCTTCTTTAGTCCCCATTGACTCCAGAATGACTAAACAACAGAAATGTATTTTGAAACCTGCTCTAGATCCCTAATGACTTTATTCATAGAAGTTTATCTGAGAAGGTTTTCTGATTAAATGAAATGAACCTCAAAATATCAACTTTACATCTCTTGGGAGGCAGCACAGTGTCTGCAAAAACAAACTTTGAAGATAAATAACCCTTTCACTTACTAGCTATGTATGCTGGAAGGAAAGGTATATCTTAACCTCTTTGCATGTCAGTCTACTCATTTATAAAATTATCACAAGTATTTTCACAGATACTAAAATACCTGGTAAAATGCCTAGTATATAGTAGGTATTCATTGTTTGTATACTGCCAAACTGATATCAAAGTTTATTTTCTTTGAGGTGTCTGCCTCATTTTTCTGTATGTCTTTTTAGGCAGTTTTATACAATGACAAATCTGTTTTGGAAAATCATCATGCTGCGTCAGCTTGGAATCTATATCTTTCTCGCCCAGAATACAACTTCCTTCTTAATCTTGATCATGTGGAATTCAAGCGTTTTCGTTTTTTAGTCATCGAAGCAATCCTTGCCACAGATCTTAAAAAGCATTTTGATTTTCTTGCTGAATTCAACTCCAAGGTTTGTTATGCAAATTTGTGCCTGATTTAAAAAATGTAAATGTTTATTGTCAGTATTACTGGTAAAAGGTTTTTTAATGTTAAGTTAGAATTATTACTACTTAGGAAGTAACAATAAAAATTGATGTAAAATAATATTTATGCCTATATTTTAAAAAATAAACATTTTTATCGTTATGATAAAATTTCCTAAAATATTGCTTGTTATATTTTCTTTTGACACATAAACTTATACAGCTGTGACTTTGCTTCTCATACTTTCACATAGAAATAAACCAGTTATTTCAAATGAGTTTAAAGAGAGATATTACAAAGCCATGCTCAGTGTCAAGTAAGGCATTATATAAAATTAATTTTATGTGTTTCTTAAGAATTCAGTTAAATATGCCTACCTCACTGCACCTGTTATACCTTCTTTATATTAGTGATTCTAATAGAAAGAAGAGGAAGTACCCTCTTCTACTTGAGAATAATTCACTCATTCAACAAGTATTTATTGCGATTGCCCATATGTGCAGACATTCTGCTAGGGAAAAATGAGGAAAGACTAGGCCAAAGAACTCACATTTACCAGGGGATCAGGAATCGCTACCCTAGAATGACAGTGTACTCATGGACACTGTGCTTTATCTCTCAGACATTTGAGGTTAAAAAAGTTGAGAACCACTGCTTTAGATACCCACTCTGGCTTGCAGGAAGCAGCTATTTTCTTGATGACTTTTGTGACCTAAAAGAAGCTGTACCTGCAGGGTAGATAAACTGGTAACAAAGGAGTACTAGATTAAACCTGCTGTTAGGAGACCCTCATATATGTTGCTGTCATGATATTAATGAAATTCTTGTAAAAATCAGTGAGAAATCAGGATACCTTTAAAATTACTTCATAGTTGTATAATTCTGTTCACTTTAATTTTTAAATAAAAATTCATTTAAGTGTTTAAATCACCTTTTACAGGTAAAAGATTATCGAACACAATGCCTTTGAATGTGTATTCCTTAAAGACTTCTATTTTGAAGTCTCTCAAGAAAATGCCATATGAATGGGTCTCTAGACCTTCTATTAAGTTTCAATCAAAAGAGCTCTTCTTTCAAGTATTTTCTATGGTGGTGTTCTACATAATTTTTTTTTTTCTGAAAGAGTTTGGTGCCAAAAAGCAACTGTCACACTGAAGTTCAAAAGTTATGATGTGGCTCATTCTTTTCATTTTTTACAAAACAAAATTTTTGTTGTTGAAAGGCTTTTCCTAGCTAATAATGATGATTGTTTATTTAAATAACAATATTTATTTAACATTTACTGTGACTAAGGCATTTTTTTCATTTATTAATCCTTATGGCAACATGGCTAGATTGGTATTACTTTTCCTACTTCATAGATAAAGAAAGTTAGATTCAAATAGGTTAAGCAGTTTTTTCATTGTTACCCACTGTTTTTTGATTCAGGATTTAACATGCTGATTCATGACATTCTGAGTCAGGATTTAAGACTATAGGGCCAGCTTCTCAGACTTGTGTTCAGTTAACAATCTCATGTTGCCTTTCATAGCTAGAACAAACTTCTCTACCTTCTTGAAGTGTTCTTTTTTGAGGTAGAAATAAGTAGTTATAATTCTAATATGATTTTTGATACTGTGTATCTGCTATACTTAATAGATATTATACACATACATACATACATACATAAATCCTGTTTCTTTGTGGTCACAAATATTGAAACCCAAGGTTGGTTATGTTTTTCTAGAAAGCATTTTTTAGAAAGGAAATTTAACCAGTAGAGTTCCATGTTATGGAATAAACTGATGTTAAACAGAACTATTTGCTGAAATTTCTGTCATTTAGACAGGAAACAATTTTAAGATAATTTGGTAAAAGCAAACAAAATAACAATTTTTAAAAATGCCTTCAGAACTTAAAATGATTTTGTTTTTCCAAAATAGGCAAATGACGTAAATAGTAATGGCATAGAATGGCGGAATGAAAACGATCGCCTCTTGGTATGCCAGGTGTGCATCAAACTGGCAGATATAAATGGTCCAGCAAAAGTTCGGGATTTGCATTTGAAATGGACAGAAGGCATTGTCAATGAATTTTATGAGCAGGTAAGTTGAAACAGAGCTTGGTGAGATTTTTAAGGGCTGTCATGAGAAGACACTGCTCTTTGAGTTTTGGATAGCTTTTTTAAGTGTTTGAAAGCTGAGTTGCTTTGACTGGGAAGGGTTAAAAATTGTTGCATTTGCTCTGTTTCTTAGTATTTTCTCTGTTCTGTTTGCTTTTGCTATTAAAATTTTTAAAAATAGCTTATTTTCTCTCTTGGGTGAGCTGAAGATACCTGTGAGTCTATCGGTAAGGCTGTTAGCAGCAGCAAATCCATACCGGTCTGCAGCAACCTCAATTCTTGCCTCCTCAGAAGAAAGAATTCAACCGATGGGCATAAAGCAGACTGAGGCAAGTTTTAGAGCAGAAGTAAAAGTTTGTTTAAAAGCTTTAGAGCAAGAATGAAAGGAAGTAAAGTACACTTAGAAGAAAGCCAAGCAGGCGACCTGAGAGATCAAATACATGGTTTGACCTTTGACTTGGAGTCTTATACGTTGGCATGCTTCCAGGCTTGTGTTACTTCTCCCCTGATTCCTCCCTTGAGGTGGCTGTCACATGTGCAGTGGCCTGCCAGCACTTGAGAGGGCCACATACACAATGTGTTTACTGAAGTTGTACTTATGCTCACTTGAAACATTTTTTCCTTCCCAGTCCAGTGTTCATGGAGGAAGGTCATATACCAGTTAATCTCCACCATTTTGCCTCTTAGTGCACACACTTTAGCCCACTCACCCAGCACCTAAGATCTTATCAGGAAGCTGCTAATCACCAGTTTCAGGGTTTTTTGTTTTTTTTTTAAATCTATTGAGTGACTGCCTTTCCCTGGTGCCAACTGCAACCAATTATTATTTTAGAGAAACAGCTTAACAAACTATTACCTAATGGTCACCTGACATTTCTGATGGGTTGGAGGGTGGGCCCTTTCCTGCTCTGCCCATGTTTGCCTGACTGCCTTCTGTAATAAGGCTAGACTACATTATGATTCCAAGGTCTCTTTCAACTCTGAGAATCTGTAACCTAGAATAATTTATTTCCAGATGAAGGGTTTTTTTTTTTTTTGAGACAGAGTCTCACTCCCGATCCTGGCTCACTGCAACCTCCGCTTTCCAGTGTCAAGCAATCGTCCTGCCTCAGCCTCCCGAGTAGCTGGGACTACAGGCACGCACCACCATGCCCGGCTAATTTTTTGTACTTTTAGTAGAGACAGGGTTTCACCATGTTGACCAGGATGGTCTTTATCTCTTGGCCTCATGATCTGCCCGCCTTGGCCTTCCAAAGTACTGGGATTATAGACGTGAGCCACCGCGCCGGGCCGATGAAGTGTTTTTTAAGTTATTCAGGGTGTGGTCAGAATATATTTAAAGGATATAAATCAATTTTCAACTCTGCTATAAAAAGACTAACTCCCTGTCATAGAAACATCAATTGGGAAGAAGTCCAGGCAGAGATTAAGAAATTAGAGGGCTAGAAATGCAGAGAGTAGATACCTAGTGGTTTTCAGGGATTCAGAGAGATTTTTGGCATTAAAATAATTCTTCCACTTTGCTGAATCTGCCATTTTGGGGGTCCAGTTTTGAGGCTTCCTACAATGTAGAAGTGCACTGATTTCCTGACATGCCTAACATTTTTTTAATCTCCAAAATGGTAAATATACCTTCTTGACTTTGAAATTACATTCCTTAGGAATCCTTGTTGGCTCTAATTATCAGGAAAAGTCAAGATATCTACCAGGTGAGGGCTTTCTTACCATGATGGGGAAGAGGGAGTAATTGAGCCTATATAACTATGCAAATGGTATGCTTTGTTACTTCCAGATTGTATTGAAAATGTGCAATGTTTTACACCCCTCAGCTAAACATTCCAACACAATAATGTATACTCTGCTGTTTGTAAGTTACAAAATGCCATACTGTGTAATCATGGAAAGATTATTAATATTTTGCTATTCTCTGATATGTTCAAATTATGTTAATTTGGGGTAATAAATGGCTGTGTTTACCTAAATTTGTAAGATTATAATATGCAGTTTGTGTATTCTCATCCTCACTCTCAACGATAATTGAAACTTGCCTTAGAGCTCACCCATGGATCTCATGTTTACAAAAGAGGAATTTTATGCTAAGGAAAATGCTATCTTTATATTATCTGTACAAACAGTAATAACAAATAGTGGCATATGTCAATTTAGAAAATTCACTGGTTCAATAACATTAGAAATATTCATTTAGACCCAGCATATATAATTATTTTAAAAGCATATAGAATTAATACTTATTAAACAAACCTGGAAGTCATGCCTGAGGTTGAATCCTGGCTTCTCTTCCTTATCTGCAATATGACCTTGGTTGGTTAAGTTACTTAACTTCTCTCTTCCACAGTTTCGTCATTGATAAAATAGGAATAATGATGGTACCTACCCCATAAGGTTTCTGTGAAGATTGAATAAATATATGTAAACTTCTTAGTTTCTGACACATAAGTGCTCAATAAATGTTAGTTATTGTAATTTCATATATATCATTAAAAAACATTATCTCAGAGAGTTTCACTTAAATCTTTCTAAGTGTCATTATTCAATATCGAAGGAGGAAAGTGTCATTTGATATCCTACCACATATGGAAGTCTTAATCATCCCTCATCAGAACTAAACTTTCTAATTCTGGTTATGCTATTAAATTTTCTTCATATATGTGTATAAAATTCTAACTATGCCCACTTTTTTTATTATCCTAATTATCTTAATATGCCTACAGCCATTTAACTGCCATGGGCTTAGAAAAGCCAGACTCCTGGGATATATCTATGAAATTACAGAGTCCTGTAGATAAACCCAATTGTGTTTTTGAAAAATATCAATAGTTTTCTTCCTCATAGAAGATAAAATCGTATTTCTAATCATGGGACAGTTAATCACGGAAACAGTTTATGGTTGTTTCCTCAGGGTTTTGTTGGCTCATTACAGAAGAGACACTGCTTACCTGCAGAATTTGTACATCGTGGGGAGTAATTTATCCCCCACCAGTTCAGACACTAGGACTAAAATCTTAATAGTACCATTTGAGGAATGCTCAGTACTTTGCTAAACACTTTACATAATATGGCCTTTTAACCTCATCATAGGCACCCCATAAGGTAGGTTATTATTCGATTTTATACACAGTGAAATTACACATTGAGGTTGCGCAACACCACCTAGGTAGTAGTCTGATCTCAAATTAAGCCTTAGAAGCCACAGTGGGAGGGTACCAGAAGGCAGGCAGTTGAGGATTTGGTCCCAGGGTCCTCACCTCAATCATGATGGCTCTACTTTATTTGTTTTTCATTTTAGGTTTTCTGATTTTGAATCATTAGAGAGTTCTGCTGTTAAAAAAGGGGGTGGAGGTAGTGTTATTGAAAAGCACTTGCAAAATTCAGCTCTGTACATTTGAGATATAACTACAACAAAAATGTTTCTGTTATGCTTTTGCTCTAGGATAAAGAGAATCCATAACTGACTGTAGAATTCTGCACATTGTTAGTAAAATTTCTGATAGTTATTTTAAAAGGTGTGTATTTTTCTTGTTAACTGAGTATCAGCCATACTGGTTGATGTGGACAGAATGTGAGAATATAGTTTGTTTAGGGTTTCTCAATATTAAATAAATTTTTACAGTTGAAATAATAGATTTATTGATGCTTATTTATAAGTTTATTTTGATATATCTTATTTATTTTAAAAAAACTCAAGATAATTTTAACAGCAAAGCTCAGTGGTGATTCTTTCACCAGTTAAAAATGTACTTTTCTTTTTAAAATATGCAGGGAGATGAAGAGGCAAATCTTGGTTTGCCCATCAGTCCATTCATGGATCGTTCGTCTCCTCAACTAGCAAAACTCCAAGAATCTTTTATCACCCATATAGTGGGTCCCCTGTGTAACTCCTATGATGCTGCTGGTTTGCTACCAGGTCAGTGGATAGAAGCAGAAGAGGATGATGATACAGAAAGTGGTGATGATGAAGATGGTGAAGAATTAGATACAGATGATGAAGAAATGGAAAACAATATAAATCCAAGTAAGGATATAGGGACATTATAATTTATTTAATGTTACAGGTTGTGTATTTCAAGTCTGAAAATCTGAAATATGAAATACTCTAAAATCCAAAACTGTTTGACTGCCAGCATGATGCTCAAAGGAAATACTCATTGGAACTTTTGGATTAGGGATGCTAAATATAATGCAAATATTCCAAAATCTGAAACACTTCTGGTCCCAAGCATTTTGAATGGGGATACTCAGCCTTTAATAACTGCACATGTCCATTTAACTTAAGTTTGGAACTTTGTTTCTCAGATATAGATTCAGTAGTCATTATGTTGAGTAACCACTATGTAAATGTTCAGATTCAGTGGTCATGTTTTGAGTAACTGCTGTATGCTGGGTACTGAGTCGATACTGTCATACAACAAGCATTCTTATTCTTGTTTAATTAAAGTAAGATCTCTTGAGGTGTTGTCCTCCAGCCAGTATTCTACAGCAGACTCCACCTGTGCATGCACGGTAGGGCTGTCACCACATCTAAACATATGTGAGGTGGGTCCTCATGGCAAATCCTCCTTCACGTCACTCCTTCTTACACATCTAACCCCCATTCCTACTGGGCAGCTGAGGAGCACGGAGCACAACTTCCATAGCAGCGTACTAATCTGTCGCTTACATAGACTTGAGAAATAGATCAAAACAGTGGGGGTAAAAGGAAAACATACATTCCCTGGCTGTAAAGGGAGAACCAAGTTTTGTGACATTATGAATTTGAGTTACCGAACTGTAATGACATATTTTTCTATATAAGACAATTAGTATAAATGAAAAATAAAAAGTATCACTTTGTAATTGTGAATGAAATCAGTTATTTGCTATTTATTTATTTATTTGTTTGTTTATTTTGAGATGGAGTCTTGCTCTTGTCACCCAGGCTGAAGTGCAGTGGCACAATCTTGGCTCACTGCAACCTCCACCTTCTGGGTTCAAGCGATTTTTCTGCCTCAGCCTCTGAGTAGCTGGGATTACAGGCCCATGCCACCACACCTGGCTAAGTTTTTGTATCTTTAGTAGCGACAGGGTTTCGCCATGTTGGCCAGGCTGGTATTGAGCTCCTGACCTCATGATTTGCCTGCCTCGGCCTCCCAAAGTGCTGGGATTACAGGTGTGAGCCACCCCACCCGGCCTGTTTGCTCTTTATTTTAAAGTAGAATTAAATTATACCTATGTAGGTATTGTTTTGATTTTCAAGCATGTAGTAAATAAGACCAAATAGGATAACTACAAAGAACTGCCCACTGCAACACACACCTGCCTTGTATTTAGGATTAGTATAGCAAATCCTATTAAAATATATTTAAAATTATTTTTTTAATGGCATCATAATGCCATTGGCATCTGAAAGTTGACTGACTTCAAAAAATATACTCATCAAGTTGGTAACTGTGTTTAATTCAATACATAAAATGCCCTTAAAGGTTGGTTTTAAACTTTGGGTTATTATTTTCATTTGAAATTTCAGCACAATTCTTTCCTCTATACCATACCCAGCCAGTTTTCCCTAAACCTCTTCTCTGTTTTGTTTTTATCCATAACAAGACCATCTAACATATTTCTGTTTTGCTTTTTGTTTTTCCAGCTCTTTCTACTATAATCTGAACTCCATAATGCAGGGATTATTTTTATAGTACTATTTCATTATATTATTTTTATTATACTATTATTTTTATGGTGCTATTTATTTTTATAACCCCAGTGCTTAGACAGATGCCTAGAATATAGTAGGCACTTAATATTTGTTGGACGAATGATTAAATCATATTGCTATGATTAGAATATATTTCTTTTAAATTTCACAGAACCGCCAAGAAGGAAAAGCAGACGGCGAATATTTTGTCAGCTAATGCACCACCTCACTGAAAATCACAAGATATGGAAGGAAATCGTAGAGGAAGAAGAAAACTGTAAAGTTGATGGGAATAAACTGCAGGGGGAGAACTCCTCCTTACCTCAAGCAGATGAGATTCAGGTCATTGAAGAAGCAGATGAAGAGGAAGAGCGACAGTTTGAGTAAAAGAAGTCATATTGAAGAAACCCAGAGGGCTGTGCCCAGGGGCAGAAATCATTGCCTAGTGGTCACCGGCTGACTTTTAACTGACCATTCCCACGTGGACAGGCCTTAATACTGTGAGAGGATCCTTGCTTTGCTGGCAGTTTCCCACTCCTATGCACTTTCGCATGAACTAGAAAACTATTCTTAAACCAAGAATACCATCCATGTTGACCCATGTTGCAGAGTCCTTACTTAAATCCTTCACTGGTGTATGAATACTTCGCCATAATGCTGCTTTGCTGGGTAGTGAGCTCTTATTTTTCATCGGGGGTTAGCTATAACTAAAAACTCAAGTGACTTATTTCAGTTACCAAAGTGGCCAGAACTTTTTGCTTTTATGAAAATAGATTCATATTGTATTTCCCAATGTGTCTTTTATGTCTTTGAATGTTTTGAAAAGAAGTCTATGCCTGTCTAAAACTGAATCCAGTGTTGCCTTTCTGAGGGATTTCTGCTCAATGCAATACACTGTTCAGTGCTATTCTCCCAGCTAGGTTTATCCATGAAGGACTGAGAGACCTTTGTTATATTTAACAAAATCCTGGTGCATCAATTTCTGATGCTTTTTACTATTATGTATTATCTACTATGTGTGTTTTATTTTTACTGAGAGTATTCAGGTTTGCCATGGACATCAGAAATTTGAATTCCAGTCTTACCTTCTTCATGTTCCATGGCTGAATTTCAAAGCTGTTTAGGTTTAACAATGAAGGGATTTATTCTTTAGTCATAACTGTTATTTTTACTCTTGCTCAGGATTTGCATTTTTAACATTTAGTTAATGTAAACACAGCACAGATTTGTCAGTAGAAAAAAAAATTGTCCTAATACCAAGGTTAACCTTTTATGAAATCAGCAACATTTTCTCTCTTAGATGAATTTGAGAGTAATTAAAACTAAGGGAAAGAAGATGTCTGTCTTTTGCCTCAATGCAAAATCAAATGAAATTAATCTCATCAAAGATAAAGAATAAAGAAACATACTGAGCCCTAAAGGACACACACGTTGAATAAACAAATAGAATATGTGAACAATTCGAATATGTGGTTATCTTTAGATCCATATCTTGTCATTTGTTTAGTTACTGTAAAACTGACATTCATCTTTCTGTTAATTTCCCTCTGCCTCAAGACTGCATGACAGAAATGACCATTATTTCTGAGACCCAACTGTAAGACTGATTGCTGAGATCAAGTAAAGAATTGGAACACTTGCCGGGCGCGGTGACTCAAGCCTGTAATCCCAGCACTTTGGGAGGCTGAGGCGGGTGGATCACGAGGTCAAGAGATCGAGACCATCCTGGTCAACATGGCGAAACCCCGTCTCTACTAAAAATACAAAAAATTAGCTGGGCACAGTGGCGCGTGCCTGTAATCCCAGCTACTCGGGAGGCTGAGGCAGGAGAATTGCCTGAACTCAGGAGGCGGAGGTTGCAGTGAGCCGAGATCGCACTATTGCACTCCAGCCTGGGTAACAAGAGCGAAACTCCATCTCAAAAAAAAAAAAAAGAATTGGAACACTTATTTTTCATATAAAAAATCGAAATATGTTAATACATCATTTCATACAAAAGTACATTATTAAATAACCACATTATTAAGATAGTTGCAAGAAAATGGACCATATATATAATGTTTTGTAAACTTGCTAGTGTGTGGATATGTACCCTAGTTATGAAATACATTTGAAGATATAAAGAGCAGCCAAAATGATAGAAAAATGGTAGACTAATATTTTCTATTATTATTGGAGATCATGTCATATTTTGGATTCATGCAATTTTGCACACAGTGAAACTATTAATTTCCAAGGTAATTCATTTAAAGTATTGTATTAGCATGCAGTTTCTTACTTATCTAGAATATTTGGCTTGTCTGAAAGAGATCAGCTTAAGATCTCTGGAGGTACTGGAACTTTTGATCCTTCACAGTGTTAATATTTAATGAATCACTAAGCTTTATTTATTAGACATGTTGAATGAGGGTCGAGTTCCTTCCTGCCACTTTTGTTACCATTGCCACACACAATTTGTAAACCAGTACTACGATATATTACTAATTAATAAAATTCCAACTGATAACTTATTGTTTGCACTTACAGTATATATATCCTGTCCTTATATTTCCCTAGAGTACATTTTCCATTCTGTTTAAGTATATTTCTGCTACTACTTCCTTTCCTGCAGAATATATACAAATGTATGTGTATAAATTCACACATGTGCATACATATTGAGGTTCAGTCACATTTCTATACTATTATTTTATTGGATTTTATATTGGGGTTTTTTAGTTTATGTTATTTTCTCAAAAGAAGCTTTTGTAATTATGAATACTGGATTTACTGGATTTAATTATAAATCCAATTATTATTGAAAACTCATTTTTGCATAACAATAGTCCTTAAATTAACCCTTGCTAAGTAATTGACATATGTCAAAATAACTAGCCTAAAGAAACCCAAAAAAGTATCTATCGCTACTGAAACTTAAAAATTCCTAAGTGTAAGAAATGATTGTGAGAATATATTAAATCCACACAGTACTATTAGATGGAATCTTACTTGAGAAATTGCCATAAGTCATATTACAGATCTTACTTTGATTGCTACTGAACCAGATTGATTTCTTGTTACAATAATTTTCATCCTAAAGTTGCTGTTTTTAAAGCCACTGGTATTAGAAATATTCTTTTAGTGCTATATCTATGTGCCTACTGACACATTTTTCTCCATAAAAATACTTTTAAAAATTATTTCATGATTTGAAAGCTATGTCCTGCTATTATTTCATTACTTTGTTGGTGCTATTGGCTTTTTCTACTTATTTTTATAAGAAACTTGGAGATTCTGGTTTACTTAAGTAGTCAGAAATTCCTTATATCTAGATTGCATCATCTCATAGAAACAAATGTCACAAAAGAGATGAAGAGATACAACTCTGGTTCCTTCATTATAGTTGCCAGACTAATGTAAGCTGCTCTAGAGTGTGTAGGTGTGTAGGGGATCGGAGTGGCAGGTGTAGCAGAGACGAATCACTTTTCAAATAACTTTTAAGCTCAAAACTGAAGAATTAAGAGTTAGCTCAGAAATGATTGCTTGTAGAGAGAGAATAATAACATGTACAGAGGCCAGAAGAGAGAGTATCCCCACACTGGATGAACCAAAAGAGATTTAGGGTGGCTTGAAGATAGAGCACAAGAACAGGGAATGGTAGAGAGAGGTCGTTAACGAGGGGCCTTGTAAAACATGACATGCCACTTTTTTTATTCCTAAAGAAAATGGGAAACAATGGAAAAGTTTCAATCTGGAAGAATAACGTGATTAGGTTTACATTTTATGAGAATCATTCAAATAGCATGCCTCCGTTGTCCCTTGTTATACATGGGGGATTTGTTCCAGGACCTCCTCAGATATAAAAATCTTCACACAATTCAAGTCCCACAGTCAACCCTGTGGAACCCGCAGATACAAAAAGTTGGCCCTTTGTTTGAGGGTTATGCATCCCACTAATATATTTCATCTGCATTTGGTTGCTATGCAGAAACTGCCAATACAGGGCCAATTAAATTTACTAAAAAACTCCACATATAAGTGGACAGATGGAGTTCAAACCCATGATGTTCAAGGGTCAACTGTATTTTGAATTGTTAAAAATTATTGTTTTGGACTCAGTACCTGCACCTAGGCCTCAAAGCAAAATGGAGTCACTCATGCTAAATGCCCCGTAATCAAACTGAAACTTGAAGGAAATAGGTAGATCCCCAGGCTAGTTTTCCTGAAAACAGGAGATTCCAGTCTATTTGGGAATAATCAAAGAAATCCCCCTTCTTTAACCCATACAAAGAAGATATAATCTGAAGTAACCTGAACATAACCAATCAGGTTTTTTTCTATTATTCTGTTTCCTTGTTTCCCATCTACAAAACCAACTGTTCTGCCATTACCCAGTGGGAAGTTCATTCTCTTTTGTAGAATGAAGGCTGCCTGATTCATGAATCTGGAATAAAAGCCAATTAGACCTGTAACTAATTTGTTGTGATTTTATCTTTTGACAGAAAGGCAGATTAGACATAGTAAGTTCTTGGCAATATTGAATAGATTGTGGACCACAGGAACATGGATGGAGTTGTGATCTAAGATACAGAGTTGGTATTGGGGTAAGAAAGATAATAAAAGTGGTTCCCGGATTTCTTATGTGGACAGCTGTCAATATCATTCACTAAGATAGGGTATAGCAGAGTTAATTTTGGATGTGTTAGAGAGTGAAGAGATGAATTCAGATTAGAGCAAATTGAGATTAAGGGGCTTGAGACAACCAAGTGTATTTCAATGTAGGTATGGGACTCAGAAAAGTGATATGCGCTACAAGTATGGATTTGGGAGTCAACAGCAAATAGCTGAAAGTCTACTTTGAATATCAAGCTTTTCTTTTCTCAAAAACTGTATGTCATAGTATTGGCTTCTGGTGAATTGGGCAGTGGGTTCTATTTGCTTGCTAACAGTGCTGCATTCTGTATCTTTGTTTTATGATTTATCCCGGACATCTTGCTGTATCACTACATAGAAAAATTCCTTCCTTTTGTCTAGGTGTGGTTGTTCATGCCGTAATACCAGCACTTTAGGAGGCCAGGCTGGGTGGATCTCTTGAGCTTAGGAGTTCGAGACCAGCCTGGGTAACGTGGCTCTCAGTATTAGGGTACTTCTCCATGTATTTCTTTTTGCATGTCTTGTAATTTCTGCTTTATGAAAGTTGTTAATTGGTAGGGTATTATAACTTTACAAAGTCCTTATGAATTTAGAATTATAAAATGCGCTTTTTTGTCTTATTTTCTGGCTTGAATTCTGCTTGCTTTATTAAGATCAGACTTCTGTCTGCTTTCTATTTGTATTGCATGGCATGTCTTTAACCATCCTTTTATTTTCAGCCTTTAAACTATGTTTTAAGTATCTCTTCTATACAACAATAATATAGCATTGGATTTGGTCTGAAATCAAAGTGGATGCTATATTATATGAAACCAAATCCAATGATATATTATATGAACATCTTTTGATAGGTGAGATAAGCCCATTTATATTTATTCATGTGACTGTAAGGACTTAATTCTTCATATTATTCACTCTTTTCTTAAAAACTCATTTTAATTATGACATTTAGGAAGGTTTGTATCTTTTATACTAGTTGACATATAGTATCTTTGATTTAACTAGTATAACCATAGTATAGTGAACTATAGTATTACTATAGTTATACTACCTTTGGACCCCATTGCTTTGCAGTATCTGCTTCTCATCTGTGAATTAAAAAATTAGCTTGTATATATTCTTCTCCATCTCCCACTACCCAATTTTAGGCAATATTATCCTCTACTCTTGTACTGTTAAGTATGCTTAAACTTCTACTACTTGTCACTTTTAAACTGTATCTTTTGAATTCTAACTATATGAAGCTCTATTCTACATTCTACCATTTCTCCTCTTCTCATTTTTGTTAGATGCATTATTTTTATCAGATATAAAACATTTAGATAGTATTGTCACACTTATGCCACCATTGTCTTAGTTCTATAATTAAATTTATTCAATGCTCAAGGCCAGTCCTTTTGTTTCCCAATCATCGCTTGGTTCACTGAAGCTTGTTCTCACACCCGATTAACAGTTTAGGCACTAGAGAACTTCACATTCAAAGTCAGACAGAATTAGGGAGCCCTCAATCTAGGGCACCAATCCCAGGTAGGAGCACCACCATCTCCTTGGCATAGGAACACAATTTATTCAGACTTATTTCAGCATTTGGGGGCAAGTTCTACAACTACGCAAATAGGAGGAGAAAATGAGATGGGGAAAACTGTTCAGCTGTTTATCCCAGTAAATCTGCATGATTTCCTTCCACTTTTGTTCTCCTTACCTAGTTCTCTCCTTATGTACTGATTTTCTCCATAGCTATCCTGTGAAGAATGGGCTCACATCTCCACATCAGGCTTCATGAATACATGATTTTATTTGTGAATCTTTCAATATTTTCCCATCCATCTTTCATCTCCTAAAATTTCCAAGTATCTGATCTACTAATATTGCCCTCCACCCGTCAATGCCTTTATTCCTTCTTATATTCTTATGGTTATTTCAGTGATAAGTTACAAAAAATAAGTGTACTCACCTGTTGAATCAGAAATTAGATTTCTAACATTTGAATTAGTAGCTTAGCATTGATTGATGAGAGAGAAAAGGCATCCATCCCTATTGCATAGCTCCAGTGTATCTGTTACAATGTAATTTCAAAAAATATATTTTTCCAGTATGGATTACTTATTAATTCATGTTAATTTATATTTTTACAAAAGTGCCGCATTGTATTTTTACTGCAGCTAACTGTTCCAAATAATTGAGTTGAAAGCATAATGAAAAACAGTCTTATATATTGTAAAGCGTAAGATAAATTATTGGGTGTGAATAAAGTCTCAGGATTCAAAATCAATGTGGAAAAACCACCAGCGTTTCTATAAACCAATACTAGACAAACTGCCAAATCAAACAGCAAAAGCTCTTTAGTTTAATTAGAGCCCATTTGTCAGTTTTGTCAACTGGCATTTCTACTTTCTAGGTCCTTGAAGAATTCCCACACTGTCTTCCACAATGGTTAAACTAATTTACACTCCCACCAACAGTGTAAAATTGTTCCTATTTCTCCATATGCTCTCCAGCAACTGTTGTTTCCTGACTTTTTAATGACTGCCATTCTAACTGAGGTGAGATGGTAGTATCTCATTGTGGTTTTGATTTGCATTTCTCTAATGACCAGTGATGAGCATTTTTTCATATGTATGTCTTCTTTTGAGAAGTGTCTTCATAAATGTCTTCTTTTGAGAAGTGTCTTTTTATATCCTTTGCCCTCTTTTTGATTTTTTGTTTTGTAAATTTATTTACATTCTTTGTAGATTCTGGATATTAGCCCTTTGTCAGATGGATAGATTGCAAAATTTTTTCCCCATTTGTAGGTTGCATGTTCACTCTGATGATACTTTTGCTGTGCAGAAGCTCTTTACTTTAATTAGATCCCTTTTGTCAATTTCAGCTTTTGTTG